GATGGTGAAAGTTTTTCTTTTTTCGGGCCACCCTGCCTTGCTGGGGATTGGCCAGTGTGTTAATAAAAAAAAAATATCCAGACAAAGTGCTATACAGTGGTTCTGTGCTCCAGTGCCCTAAATTAATAATAATAATAATTATTATTATTATTATTATTGCAATAATACATATGTGCTAATATTAATAATAACATTATTATTAAACTGTAATATAATAATCATGTCCACTCATTACTTACCTTAAAATAACTGTAGTCTTAATGTAGAGTGAGAGGTGAGTAAACAAGATTAAATGAATAAATGAGAGAGAGAATGAGAGGGTAGAAGATTCACAAGTTATGTAAACAAACGTTGTTGTTGTTACCAACCCGGACACGAATGGTTTCTGTTCACTCTGTCAAGCCGACCAGAAAAACATCTCATACTTGTTAATTTATATGTCTATATGTTATGTAGCATGTTTATTATATAATTTTGAACAAAAATCATAGATGGATAAAGCAAAATGTCTATATTAACGTTTTATACATATTTAATGCGCCACAGTGATTATTATTGTGTTATTATCATTATTAATATGGCATCTTCATGATCAATTACACTCTTAATGAGTGGCTCTGAGACAGACAAGCAGACAGAAAGACAGACACAGGTAGACAGACACACAGGTAGACAGAAAGACAGACACACACAGACAGAAAGACACACACAGGTAGACAGAAAGAGACACAGGTAGACAGACACACAGGTAGACAGAAAGAGAGACACAGGTAGACAGACACACAAGTAGACAATAGAACAGGTAACAGACCCACAAGTAGACATAAAGACAGACATACAGGTAGACAGAAAGACAGACACAGAGGTAGACAAAGACAGACACAGGTAGACATAAAGACACAGGTAGACAGAAAGACAGACACACAGAGATACAGACAGACACAGATATACAGGCAGACAGATACAGACAGGTTTATGTGCAACACTGAAAACAAATAGAGAATTCTTGAGTAAGAGCCTTTCTCACAATCTCCAGTGCAAGATTCAGACTTCATCTTAGGGGCCATTGTGAAATTTACTGTCCAGTTAGTACAGTTAATACAATATGATGCTGCAGATAGGACAGGACTACTCAAACTGATGCTGCCTGCATGACGCATTGCCGCCGCGAGTATTGTCAAATATTATACAGTGGTGTGCATCAACCGGCCCAGCCCAGCTGCCAGATGCACGGTTGTAAGCTGAGTGGACGTATGTTGAGCAGGTCTAAGTCGGATGGTAGGTGTATAACCATAAAAACCATACAAAAATATACCGCTAATGGCTGAGAAGTGAACTCCACTATTTATGGTCTGATTTCTTTCATTTTTGGTGTACGTTAAGAAGTATCTTTCCATCATACATTGCTCAAGTTTGAATAAGATAACCCAACAAACAACTGAGAAAATAATAATATAATAATAAATATCTTTATTTACTACATGTACATGTACAAGGTATACAGGCCTAGCTGACATCAGTGACATACTATTGTATAGAAAGCTGCTTGTTATGCAGAGTATTTCAAGAAAATTAGGTCAGTGTCCCAGGGTAACACCCACACTAGTCGGCTAACACCCAGGTACCCATTTACTGATGGGTAAACATAGACAACAGCTGTAAAGAAACATGCCTAATGTTTCTACCCTGGCTGGGAATCGAATATTTATCAAAAATCATATATGGCTTACCAAAGCCAGGTACTAAAAATAAGCCATGTTGACTTTTTTTTGGGTTATCCTAGGTTCTCTACACATATGCTGCTATGTGTGATAATCTTTAAAGAGAAAATAACTTTTTTGTTTCAGGTTTATGGTGCAGTACGAGTGTGGATCACAGTTAGCCCTGTGCTACGCTACGTTTTCTCTAATATAAGCCCCAAGACAGGGATAGGAGAATGGTATTTGTATACCATATCCTCTTCATACCTCCATCGAACTGCTCGGTGTTATGCCAAATATTATTCATTCTGGAGTATTTAACATGTTTTATGTTATTTATATTGTTTCTTACGTCATATTAGATCAGTTGTGATAGGCAAATAAGCTATAGTGTTGATATTACTGTAATAATAAAGCATATTCTCCTGCTTCATGAGACTGAACTCATGGCAACTGACAGTGGCTTCAAAGCCACCTTATCTTTAATGGGTAATGTACTGTGTAGGTGCTTTACATAATGAGAAGCATTTCTTTTATTCATTGGAGCCATGGCTAGGGCTAAAAGTAAGCAGGTTAAAACAATAAATGGAGAAAAAGAAATTGAAATGACTTATGCAGCAAGTAGCGCCACCAAACAGTACCAGCAGGTTGATGTGGCGACCCTGGAAATTTGAAATTATGCTAGCCAAAATTAGTGCCGAATAACTGAAGGAACCGAATAACTGATTGCCAGATTTGTGATGGCGGACCTGTACTAATATATAGAAAGCCGCTTGTTATGCAAAGTACACCTACCACCCTACTTACGACCGAGTTCGGTTCCGAGAAACTGGTCGTAAGTCGAAATGGACGTAAGTCGAACTTTACTACTGAATATCAACATCACATTTTTGTAATGACTTTATTTTGTTTTATTTTGGTATTTCATGTTTTACTTTACTTTTTATGCTGTTAGTACTGTATTTTATACTGTAAGGTTTAGGATAAACACTGTGTACAACACAAATAGTTGTTTATTTCCCAGAAATTTGGCAAAAAAACACGGTCGTAAGTCGAGTGGTCGTAAGTCGAGCAGGTCGTAAGTCGGATGGCAGGTGTATTTCAAGAAAATTAGGTCAGTGTCCCAGGATAACACCCACACTAATTGACTAACACCCAGGTACCCATTTACTGATGGGCAAACATAGACAACAGGTGTCAAGAAACACGCCTAATGTTTCTACCCTGGCTGGGAATCGAATATTTACCAAAAATCATATATGGGTAAGCCAAGGCAGGTACTAGAAGTAAGCTACATTGACTTTTTTGGGTTATCCTGAGTTCTCTATACATGTGTGATAGTCTGTATAGAGAAAATAACTTTTTTGTTTCAGGTTTATGGTGCAGTACGAGTATATATCACAGTTAGCCCTGTGCTACACTCCGTTTTCTCTAATATAAGCCCCAAGACAGGGATAGGAGAATGGTACTTGTATCTCGTATCTTCTTCACACCTCCGTCGAACTGCTCGGAGTTATGCCAAATATTATTTATTCTTGAGTATTTAACATGTTTTATGTTATTTATATTGTTTATTATGTCATATTAGATCAATTGTTGTAGTCAAATAAGCTGTAGTGTTGATATTAGCGTAATAATAAAGCATATTCTCCTGCATCATGAGAATGAGCTCATAGCAACCGACAGTGGCTTCAAAGCCACCTTATCTTTAATGGATAATGTACTGTGTAGGTGCTTTACATAATGAGAAGCATTTCTTTTATTCATTGGAACCATGGCGAGGGCTAAAAGTAAGCAGGTTAAAACAATAGATACATAATGAGAAAAAAAAAAAACTCCGACTGTGTTTTTGGTTTAAAACAGCGACTTTGCAGTGTATTTACGTATACTATTTATTGTTGTATTCTAGTTTTCCTGGTCTCATTTTATAGAATGGAAGACATATTATGGAAATTGAGATTATTTTGAGTGGTTTCTCTATGAAAAGTACCTTGAAATTGAGCTCAAATTAGCAGAAATGTTCGATTTTTGCCAAAGCTCAAAGGTAAACAAATCATGCCGCGTGTTCAATACACGTCCAATACACAAGTGCCCTTATATTATTTATACCATTTCTATGCCACTTCTACACCAATTCAGTGGTCTGCATAACATAAATCTTCTATTTTTTTGTGAGAATAAAAATTCAAAGTGGAAGGCAAAAGAAATATAACAGAGGCCTGGGGACATGAGTAATGAACAGAGGAAATGTTATTTTAGTGCCAAAAATGTCTTGTCTTGTTTATTCTGGACCCTATTTGGAAATTGGGATCTTTTGAAATTTGTGTGAAATTGGCAAAATTGCCAATTTCTGACCACATTATTGGATATTGGAAATCGGTAAATGGGTGGTTTCTTGTACTCATTCGATAGAAAAAATGGAGTTCTCGCAAAATAGGTATGATTTTTGTTGACTGGTACATTGGAATTGGCCAAAAATAGGGCTCAAAGTGGGCGATATCGCCGATGCGTAAACATCGTGGAGACTGCTAACTTCACAAGAGCATAATTTTGTAAGTTTTCCATCAAATTTCATGCTTTTGGTGTCATTATGATTGGGAAAAGATTCTCTATATTTTTGTAAGATTTTTTTTTTTTTTTTTTTTCCGAAAAATTTCCGACCCTGAGAACAAGTTTAGGAGAGGCTCTGCCAACCCTGAAAGTGTTAAACCAAAAACACTGTCAGTTTTTTTTCTCATTACGCACTGTGTGCTGCATGATTTTTTGTATACTGCGCACACTGATCACATACACCCATTCTTTCATGTGTAGGCTTACCAGCTTTCTCTTGCTAGATTTTATGGTGCTAGAATGTAGGCATACTAGGACATCAATAACCCTGGTGCGTAAGCCATACTAGTACGTCGGAAACCCTGAAAGTGTTAATACAGTAAGTATGATACTGTTGATAGGGAAGGATAACTCAGACTGATGCTGCCTGTATGGCACATTGCCGTCGCGAGTATCGTCAAATATTGTACAGTGGCATGTATCAGCCGGCCCAGCCCAGCTGCCAGATGTACGGTTGTAAGTCGAGTGGACGTATGTCGAGCAGGTCGTAAGTTGGATGGTAGGTGTATATACATATATATGTCCAAAACACTGGCTCGTAAGACGCATATATATGGCCGAAACAGTCAAAGGGTTAATGAGACTGTGATTATTATTTAGTATTATATAAACCAAGGTTTATACCAGTATTATTATTATCATTACTAATATGGCATCTCGAGATATAAGACACTCTTACTGATTTTAATGTGTACCTGCATGCCAGCACAGTGTGTAAGTTTATTTAGGTACAGGTATACGTAAGTTTAATTATCAGAGTATATATGAAATATGAAATAACTTTTAAAAATACAGTGGACCCCCGCATAACGATTACCTCCAAATGCGACCAATTATGTAAGTGTATTTATGTAAGTGCGTTTGTACGTGTATGTTTGGGGGTCTGAAAGGAATAATCTACTTCACAATATTCCTTATGGGAATAAATTCGGTCAGTACTGGCACCTGAACATACTTATGGAGTGAAAAAATATCGTTAACCGGGGGTCCACTGTACTTGAAATTTTGGAGTTTTCAGACATGATGGAGAGACTTGGTGCTTACAGAGCTCACGGAGAATGTAAACAAACTGGGTGGGGCACGATGACCACATTAGAAAGTCAGGTGGGGGGAGCCGTATCGCGAGTTTTGGTCATAATTTGAAATGTCTGTATTAGCGGAATGACAAAAAAGCAGAACGTTATAAAGCTGGGCCCTACTGTATATTAGAGCTGATATCTACTACTATATTTATTACAGTATACAGTACACTACTGTGTAAACATATAAAAATATACAAGAAATGCTATAAATGGTACAAAGGTGACAATAAAACAATATCAAAGATGGTTGACACAAACCCATTACCATTATAGCATGCTTCTCACATTGCGACGAATTTGTTTAACGATGTGATCTTAGGAACAGAACTCCTTCGTTAAGTGAGGAGAGGCTGTATCTGAATACATTCACCTCCATACTCTCTCCCTCCAATCTGATATCCCATCTCTTGTTACTTAATTTTCTTGTTTTCCTCATCACCTTACTTTTTCCTATATTCACTTTTAATTTTCTTGTTTTACATGATGTTATCTTTAATTTTAAAACTAGCCTCTTTCTCCCGGCACTTTAGTTGCCTCTTATGACACACATGACTTATGGATGAATGATTCTTTACCACTTCCCCATTACAGAATTAATATTGTAATGTTATTTGAATTAATGTCATCTTTTTTATCAGGCATGTGCTTGGAGAGTTGAAGAATTACAGTTATTGACAGACTCTGTCATCTCCTGGGAGATAGTGCCTCGTAATCTACTGTTAGTTGCAAGGACCATGCCAAAGTTAGCCAGCACTGAGTTAAAATTGAATGGGTTTAAAAAAACTCCTCTGCAGTGCCAAAATCAGTGGCGCTATGTTGTAACAGCATTCAAACATGGAGGTTACAAGCAACTTGCTGAACAGATTAATCTTATCTATTTATTGATGCCTTGTATGCTAAACCCCAATCTGTTTTATTATTATACTGTCAATAATCCTAACTGGAAAAAAAAAAGAAAGCAACACATCCAGAGTAGTCTTATAAAAACGTCTGTGGAAGCAGAAAGGACCGAAGAGCATATGCTTTCATATGTTCAGGTTAATGTACCACAGCTGTTAGATCCCAAGAAATGCCATGACAAGATCTCTACTGATGAAAAACTAGAGAGGAAAGAGGAGGAAGTTGTTAGTGCATCGTCTGTAGAAGCAGCAAAAACAAAAACAAAACAGACCAAAACACCTCTGTCACAGAGTGTATGTGAAGAGCATTCACCAAGAGAAAGTCCACAGAATATGACAAAAGATAACCAAAACGTGGGTGTGCCCAAAATTCCTGAAGCCAGTATGAAAGAAACTAAAAACAAAAATGCTTTATGGAATATGCTTTCATACTTTCGGATTAATGTACCACAGCTGTTAGACCCTAAGAAACATCATGACAAGACCTCTACTGATGAAAAACGAGAGACAAAAGAGGAGGAAGTTGTTAGTGCATCGTCTGTAGAAGCAGCAAAAATAAAAACAACACAGGCCGAAACACCTCTGTCACAGAGTGTATGTGAAGAGCATTTACCAAGAGAAAGTCCACAGAATATGATAAAAGATAACCAAAATGTGGGTGTGCCCAAAATTCCTGAAGTCGGTATGATGGAAACTAAAAACAAAAGTGCTGCAGGGAATATGCTTTCATATGTTCAGGTTAATGTACCACAGCCGTTAGACCCTAAGAAACATCATGACAAGACCTCTAGTGATGAAAAACGAGAGTTGAAAGAGGAAGTGGTTAGTGCATCATCTGTGGAAGCAGCAAAAACAAAAACAACACTGACCAAAACACCTCTGTCACAGAGTGTATGTGACGAGCATTCACCAAAAGAAAGTCAACAGATGGTAAAAGATAACCAAAATGTGGGTGTGCCCAAAATTCCTGAAGTCGGTATGATGGAAACTAAAAACAAAAGTGCTACAGGGAATATACTTTCAGATGTTCAGGTTAATGCACCACAGCTGTTAGATCCTAAGAAACATCATGACAAGATCTCTACTGATGAAAAACGAGAGATGAAAGAGGAGGGAGTTGTTAGTACTGTTGTTAGTGCATCATCTGTGGGAGCAACGAAAACAACACGGACCGAAACACCTCTGTCACAGAGTGTATGTGAAGAGCATTCACCAAGAGAAAGTCCACATAAGATGATAAAAGATAATCAAAATGTGGGTGTGCCCAAAATTCTTGAAGCCAGTATGATGGAAACTAAAAACAAAAGCACTACAGGAAATATATTTTCAGATGTTCAGGTTAATGTACCACAGCTGTTAGCCCCTAAGAACTGTCATGACGAGATCTCGACTGATGAAAAACGAGAAATGAAAGAGCAGGAAGTTGTTAGCCCATCATCTGTGGAAGCAGTAAAAACAACATGGACAGAAACACCTCTGTCACAGAGTGTATGTGAAGAGCATTCACCAAGAGATAGTCCACAGAAGATGATAAAAGATAACCAAAATGTGGGTGTGCCCAAAGTTCCTGAATTGAGTATGATGGAAACTAAAAACAAAAGTGTTAAGATCTCTACTGATGAAAAACGAGAGACGAAAGAGGAGGAAGTTAGTAGTGCATCATCTGTCAGTATTAAGAAAAAACCAAATGATTTGGAATTTGTAAGAATTTCAGCTACAGTTTCATCATTAAACAAAAAGCCATTAAAATTTAAAGAGGTTAAGAAACGACCAGCTGATGAAGTACAGGACATGCCTACATTATCTACCACAGTAATGATAACTTCTCAGAGTACTCCATCAGAGAAATCTACCTATATTTTGCAGTGTGATTCACAGGAGGATAAAGTGCAGGTAATGATATTAAATGTATCTAAAAGTAAAAAGGCCACATTAATTGAATGCAGTACTGTGCAAGGAGTTATTCCACCTCGAATCATCAGACTCTATTATCCCCCTAATTGTAAACTTCCAGCTGGTCTTACACACATGTACATTCCAAGGATATTGGTTCATTCAGATACCGTAAACTCTATTAAAAAAATGAAGGTATCACATTCTAATGATAAATATCCTATAATCAAATTTGAAAAGAACTCTAGTTCCTCATCATTCACTCCTTCACATCACTCCAGAATAAACACAGAATCAGAAGACAATGAATGTGAAGAAACTGGCTTGGATAATTTTGAAAATGAATCAAATATTCCATCTGTTGGTAATAATGGTCTAGATGGAGAATCCAGACGAGGGGAAGTAATCAAATTATTGGAGGAGTGCAAGCAAGAAAAAATAAGATTGCCGAACACATTACAAGAGAGTCACCAGCAGTAGATATCTCTTCTTAGGCAAGTCCTCACTGTCTTCCAACAACTTGAGCATGTTTGTTGAAAAAATATTTTGTTCTTATTAACACTAATAATACATGTTATATTCAGATTATATACTGTATAATTGTCCTTGTTATATAATTTTATCATTAATTAATTTCTTGGCACTGTCACTCTCACAGGTTTAGTGCACGATTAAAGTATTATTTCTTTTTCAGGTCACCCTGCGTCAGAAGGAAACAGCTGATGACTTAAAAAAATATTTAGCATTAATAACAGAGAGTAGGATTGCAGATGAACAAGAAGGTTTTAGAATGGGTAGGGAATGTGTAAATCAAGTGTTTACATTGAAGTACAGTGGCTGCAAGAAAAATTTATACATTTCCAATGCAAAAAAAAAAAAAATCCATACACTAGATATTGGTGTATACATTTCACTTGAATTTATGCAATAAGAAAAGTGGGCAGAGCTTGTGATAACTTAGTGTACTGGAGCCCATCTTGCTCCAATGTTCCCCACCACCCCACACTTAGTGCTCTTCCAGAGCTGGACGATGAAGGAAGATTGTTACATTGTTACTCATTGCCCATTTTTTTTCACTTGATCATGAACTTTGCCATGCTATAGCTCTGCTCCAAATGGTCAGAATGGGTCGAACTAAACTTTCAATTGTAGAGAAGACTCGTGCACTCACCCTATTAGAGCAAGGCATGTCTGTGATATGCATAGCTACAGACCTGAAGGTGATTAGCATGGCAATTTACAACCTCAAGAAAGCAGTTGCCTCTCCCACCTGGCACTGTGCCACCTAGGAAAGTGGGGCCTGGGGCCCCCAAAAAGACTTCTTTTGGCACAGACAAGATCCTGAAGAGGGAAGTGTTGTCAGATCCTGCCATAACAGGTGCAGACCTCAAGAAAAAGCATCCTGTACTCCTGAAAGACGTTGCAGTGCGAACCATTCAGCACCAACTGCAGAAGGATCTGAAAATCCCTGCTCGATGTGCTGTCAAGCAGCCCATGCTAAGTGAAGCCATGAAGAAGAAACGGCTTCAGTTCTGCAAGAAGTACAAGGATTGGACCTCAGACCAGTGGCAAAAGGTGATGTTCAGTGACGGGAGTACCTTCAGGCTCATCAGGAGCAGCTCTAAGATCATCCATGGTCCCAGTGGTGTGTCTCGTTATGACCCGCAGTATGCCATGAAGACAGTGAAGCACCCTGAGAGTATTATGGTCTTGGGTGCTTTTAGTGGTTATAAGGGCAGAGGTGGACTGTACTTTCTTCCCAAGAACATTACTATGAAGGGAAGTAATTACATGTATATCAAGGTGTTAAGGGACCACATGCTGACATTTTGGAACATTCACAAGTGTGATTTATTTTATTCATGATGGTGCCCCTGCCCATAAGTCAAAAGGAGTGAAAAAGTTCTCGAGGACAATAATATCAGTGCTTTGGAGTAGCCAGGCAGTTCCCCTGACCTAAATTCTATCAAGAATGCCTGGCATGTGATGAAAAATGAAATTGCGAAAACTCGACCCACCAACATCACAGACCTGAAGGAGGCACTGAAGAAGCTTTGGATCAACATAGACGCCTCCTTCTTCTCCACCCTCGCCACACTTTGATATGCAGGTGACTTCAGATGGTGATAAAGAACAATGGTAACATGACCAAGTACTGATTGGAAGCTAAAAAGTGAAAATAAAATACATGTACATACATTAAGTTGCATTTTTTTGTTTTGTTGTCCAAAAATTGTTAATGTTTAGATTTTTTGTGGCCACTGTATATATGTGAACAGTATTTAGATAAAGGTAGGGAAGTTTTCATTGCATTTATGGATTTAGAAAAGGCATATGATAGGGTGGATAGGGGAGCAATGTGGCAGATGTTGAAGTGTATAGAAGAGGTAGTAAGTTACTGAATGCTGTGAAGAGTTTTTATGAGGATAGTGAGGCTCAGGTTAGGGTGTGTAGGAGAGAGGGAGAGTATTTCCTAGTAAAAGTAGTCCTTAGACAGAGATATGTAATGTCACCATGGTTGTTTAACATATTTTTAGATGGGGTTGTAAAAGAAGTACAGTGGAGCCTCAAAAATCGAACGTATCACATATTGAATGTTTCGAAAATAAGACCATTTTTTCGGACAAACTGTGTCCCTATTATCAAACGCGCCCCTATTTTTGGACCACCAGGTACGAGACCTGTCCGCTGGCCCGCTCTGTCTACGTCCCCGCGCGGGCGCCGTGAGCAGTCTAGCTTTGTTTATGCTTGAGTGAACACTAACCTGCAATCTCATTCACACATTTTACGATTATTTAATTGTGTTTAGTGCTTGTGGGGCTATGAAATAAGCTGCCATGGGCCCAAAGAAACTTGCTAGCGGTACCCCTATGGTAAAGAAAGTGAGAAACACCATAGATGTGAAGAAGGAAATAATACAGAAGTATGAGATTGGAGTGAGACTTGTTGAGCTTGCCAGGATGTACAGAGGACTGTGGACAGTTATTTTGTGAGACAGAAACAGACGACTGTGGACAGTTATTTTGTGAGACAGAAACAGACAACTGTGGAGTTATTTTGTGAGACAGAAACAGACAACTGTGGAGTTATTTTGTGAGACAGAAACAGAGGACTGTGGAGTTATTTTGTGAGACAAACAGACAATTGTGGACAGTTATTTTGTGAGACAGAAACAGACAACTGTGGAGTTATTTTGTGAGACAAACAGATGATTTTGGACAGTTATTTTGTGAGACAGAAACAGACAACTGTGGACAGTTATTTTGTGAGACAGAAACAGACAACTGTGGACAGTTATTTTGTGAGACAGAAACAGACAACTGTGGAGTTATTTTGTGAGACAGAAACAGACAACTGTGGAGTTATTTTGTGAGACAAACAGATGATTGTGGACAGTTATTTTGTGAGACAGAAACAGACGACTGTGGACAGTTATTTTGTGAGACAGAAACAGAGGACTGTAGACAGTTATTTTGTGAGACTGGGGTCCAATGACTCTCAAGCTGGTCCTAGTGGCATTAAAATACAGAGAAGGGAAGCAATCCCAGAGAGGGCTTTGATACCAGAAGCCCTCATGGAGGGGGACTCTCCTTCCAGACAATAACCCCAAGTCCCTCTCTCCTCCTCCCTATCTTCCAGATGCCATCACCAATCTTCAATAAAGGTAAGTAAAAATGTTATTTTATATTAAGTAGGTTGGTAGACAGCAACCACCCAGGGAGGTACTACCGTCCTGCCAAGTGAGTGTAAAACGAAAGCCTGTAATTGTTTTACATGATGGTAGGATTGCTGGTGTCTTTTGTCTGTCTCATAAATATGCAAGATTACAGGTACGTCTTGCTACTTCTACTTACACTTAGGTCACACTACACATACATGTACACGTTTATTTATACACACTCATCTGAGTTTTCTTTGATTTTATCTTAATAGTTCTTGGTCTTATTACTTTTCCTTTTATATCCATGGGGAAGTGGAATAAGAATCTTTCCTCCGTAAGCTATGCGTGTTGTAAAAGTCAACTAAAATGCCTGGGAACAATGGGCTAGTAACCCCTTTTCCTGTAAAGATTACTAAAAAGAATAAGAAGAAAAAAATTGTCAAAGTGGGAAGTCTGAATGTGCGTGGATGTTGTGCAAATGATAAGAAAGAGATGATTGTGGATGTTATGAATGAGAAGAAACTGGATGTCCTGGCTTTAAGTGAAACAAAGCTGAAGGGGGTGGAGAGTTTCAATGGAGAGGAATAAATGGGATTAGGTCAGGGGTTTCAAATAGAGTTAGAGCTAAAGAAGGAGTAGCAATAATGTTGAAGGATAAGCTATGGCAGGAAAAGAGGGACTACAAATGTATAAATTCAAGGATTATGTGGAGTAAAATAAAGATTGGATGTGAAAAGTGGGTTATAGTAAGCGTGTATGCACCTGGAGAAGAGAGAAGTGTAGAGGAGAGAGAGAGATTCTGGGAAATGTTGAGTGAATGCGTGGGGAGTTTTGAATCAAGTGTGAGAGAGTAATGGTGGTTGGGGATTTCAATGCTAAAGTGGGTAAAAATGTTATGGAGGGAGTAGTAGGTAAATTTTGGGGTGCCAGGGGTAAATGTAAATGGGAGCCTTTAATTGAGCTATGTGTAGAAAGAAATTTGGTAATAAGTAACACATATTTTATGAAAAAGAGGATAAATAAATATACAAGGTATGATGTAGCACGTAATGAAAGTAGTTTGTTAGATTATGTATTGGTGGATAAAAGGTTGATGGGTAGGCTCCAGGATGTACATGTTTATAGAGGGGCAGCTGATATATCGGATCATTATTTAGTTGTAGCTACAGTTAGAGTAAGAGGTAGATGGGAAAAGAGGAAGGTGGCAACAACAAGTAAGAGGGAGGTGAAAGTGTATAAACTAAGGGAGGAGGAAGTTCGGGCGAGATATAAGCGACTATTGGCAGAAAGGTGGGCTAGTGCAAAGATGAGTAGTGGGGGGGGTTGAAGAGGGTTGGAATAGTTTTAAAAATGCAGTATTGGAATGTGGGGCAGAAGTTTGTGGTTATAGGAGGGTGGGGGCAGGAGGAAAGAGGAGTGATTGGTGGAATGATGAAGTAAAGGGTGTGATAAAAGAGAAAAAGGTAGCTTATGAGAGGTTTTTACAAAGCAGAAGTGTTATAAGAAGAGCAGAATATATGGAGAGTAAAAGAAAGGTGAAGAGAGTGGTGAGAGAGTGCAAAAGGAGAGCAGATGAAAGAGTGGGAGAGGCACTGTCAGAAATTTTAATGAAAATAAGAAAAAAATTTTGGAGTGAGTTAAACAAGTTAAGAAAGCCTAGGGAAAGTATGGATTTGTCAGTTAAAAACAGAGTAGGGGAGTTAGTAGATGGGGAGAGGGAGGTATTAGGTAGATGGCGAGAATATTTTGAGGAACTTTTAAATGTTAAGGAAGAAGGGAGGCGGTAATTTCATGCACTAGCCAGGGAGGTATACCATCTTTTAGGAGTGAAGAAGAGCAGAATGTAAGTGTGGTGGAGGTACGTGAGGCATTACGTAGAATGAAAGGGGGTAAAGCAGCTGGAACTGATGGGATCAGGACAGAAATGTTAAAAGCAGGGGGGATATAGTGTTGGAGTGGTTGGTACTTTTGTTTAATAAATGTATGAAAGAGGGGAAGGTACCTAGGATTGGCGAAGAGCATGTATAGTCCCTTTATATAAAGGGAAAGGGACAAAAGAGATTGTAAAAATTATAGAGGAATAAGTTTACTGAGTATACCAGGAAAAGTATACGGTAGGGTTATAATTGAAAGAATTAGAGGTAAGACAGAATGTAGAATTGCGGACGAGCAAGGAGGCTTCAGAGTGGGTAGGGGATGTGTAGATCAAGTGTTTACATTGAAGCATATATGTGAACAGTATTTAGATAAAGGTAGGAAGTTTTTATTGCATTTATGGATTTAGAAAAGGCATATGATAGAGTGGATAGAGGAGCAATGTGGCAGATGTTGCAAGTATATGGAATAGGTGGTAAGTTACTAAATGCTGTAAAGAGCTTTTATGAGGATAGTGAGGCTCAGGTTAGAGTGTGTAGAAGAGAGGGAGAATACTTCCCGGTAAAAGTAGGTCTTAGACAGGGATGTGTAATGTCACCATGGTTGTTTAATATATTTATAGATGGGGTTGTAAAAGAAGTAAATGCTAGGGTGTTCGGGAGAAGGGTGGGATTAAATTATGGGGAATCAAATTCAAAATGGGAATTGACACAGTTACTTTTTGCTGATGATACTGTGCTTATGGGAGATTCTAAAGAAAAATTGCAAAGGTTAGTGGATGAGTTTGAGAATGTGTGTAAAGGTAGAAAGTTGAAAGTGAACATAGAAAAGAGTAAGGTGATGAGGGTATCAAATGATTTAGATAAAGAAAAATTGGATATCAAATTGGGGAGGAGGAGTATGGAAGAAGTGAATGTTTTCAGATACTTAGGAGTTGACGTGTCGGCGGATGGATTTATGAAGGATGAGGTTAATCATAGAATTGATGAGGGAAAAAAAGGTGAGTGGTGCGTTGAGGTATATGTGGAGTCAAAAAAAGTTATCTATGGAGGCAAAGAAGGGAATGTATGAAAGTATAGTAGTACCAACACTCTTATATGGATGTGAAGCTTGGGTGGTAAATGCAGCAGCGAGGAGACGGTTGGAGGCAGTGGAGATGTCCTGTCTAAGGGCAATGTGTGGTGTAAATATTATGCAGAAAA